CTCAATCGTGTTGTTATGTCACCATATAGGCACTGTCAAAGACACGTACAATACGTGGTTGATAATGATTTCGGGCGCCCGTTTGCTTTGTATCATGACGTGGCATAGCCTTACAAGCTACATTCAAGACATGGTTCATGGAGCGTGACCATCGCGCAAGCCCTGGTCCAACGGGCCCACTTATCAACAGATGCTTGCCCGCAATAGAGATAAATCACGAAACCCATCGACAATTAGCTACGAAACCATATATGTTTTATGTGTTGCAATCTGGGCAAATATCTGCCAATCCGTGCGTTCCACCGCGGACGCTCAATTTTTCCATGCCCCCCGCGGCGTTTCAGGGCGCCCGACGCCATGCGCCAGCAACCCCCTCTTGATGCAGCGCGAGCCTTGCTCGCCGCTCTTCTTGACACCCAAAGGAACCACATGAAAGAGCAGCGTGTGCCATGAAAACAATGAAATTGAATGCAGAAGGCTTCACAAGCTAATTGCCCAACGCCAAAAATGAACTGTCGATGGTTGAAATCGCAACGCTGCCAATCCAAAGATTGGACGACAATATGGAAAAAATACAAAACGCCGCGACACACTAGAATAGCATGTGCTACCCCAAACACGTCCAACCTAAGCGCGCTAACCAGGCTAGCTAACCAGGTTAACTTGGTTAGCTAACCTGGTTCGCTAACCTGGTTAGCATGGTTAGCTAACCTGGTTAACATGGTTAGCTAACCATACTAACCATGTTAATGGTAACCATCGTAAGCATGTTAGATATGGATAGCGTTGTTACTGCTAAATGGTTGGTAAGTGGAACTTTCCATGGCCAAACCATGCTATGTTGTTGGCGCACTTAGGTAACATGGTTACCACGCTTTGCTGCCACTTGGCATGGTTATAACTAGGTTATAAGTAGCTTATACGTAGGTTATATCCACATAGGAATCATGCTAACCGAGAAGAAAGCAGGGCGACGATCCCAGCACTATCACCATCCTACTAGCGCCTTCTCATCGTCGTCCTCCCCCGCATCCTCCTCGCCCGCATCCTCTGGTTCCCTCGTCATGCTCTTCCTGACGACTCATCATTGTGCTTCTTCCTCCTGCCCACTCATCATGCCTTTCCCTACTGCCTCAATCTGCTCGTCTTGCCTCTTGCCCATGCCCCCCATCCTTCCTGCTCCTCCTCCTCCCTCCTCCTCCTCCTCCTCCTCCTTCTCCTTCTCCTTCCTCCTCCTCCTCGTCGCCCTCCTCCTTCTCCTACTCCTCCTCCTCCTCCTCCTCCTCCCCTCATCATCGTCGTCGTCGTCATGATGGTGATCCTCAGCATCGTCCTCGTCATCAGCGTCATCATCATTCTCATCATCATCATGACCATTGTCATTGTCATCGTCAGTATCGTCAACATCATCGTCAGCATCAGCATCATCATCATCATCATCATCATCATCATCATCATCATCATCATCATCATCATCATCATCATCATCATCATCATCATCATCATCATCATCATCATCATCATCATCATCATCATCATCTTCGTTTCCATTTGGTCCCCGTGTTCGGGCGAAGCGTAACTTCACGCGCGTGGCTGGAGTGGTAACCTGAGAAGGGTTATCGTTCCAGCCGCGGGCGAGGTAACCTGAACAAGGTTATCTCGCTCGCGCGCAGTAGGCCGGAGAGGTAACCTGAGAAAGGTTACCGTTCTAGCCGCGGGAGAGGTCGCCTGAGCAAGGCGATCGTTTCCGCCGGCGTTCCGTTGGAGAGGTAACCTGAGAAACCTTGCATCGCTCCCGCAATGGGCGCCGTAACCTGAGCAAGAATATGGTCCCCATTTGGAGGGTGAAACGAACCTCCAAGCGCATGGCTGGAGCGGTATCCTGAGAAAGGTTACTGTTCCAGCCGCGGGCGAGAGACCCTGAACAAGGTTATCGCGCCGGCGCGCTCTAGGCTGGAAAGGTAACCTGAGAAAGGTTATTGTTCTAGCGCGCACTAGGCTTGAGCGGTAACCTGAGAGAGGTTACCGTTCCAGCCGCGGGCGAGGTAACCTGTGCAAGGTCATCGCGCTCGCGCGCAGTAGGCTGGAGAGGTAACCTGAGAAAGGTTATCCTTCTAGCGCGCACTGGGTTGGAGTGGTAACCTGGGGAAGGTTACCGTTCCAGCCGCGGGCGAGGTAACCTGAACAAGGCTATCGCGTCCGCGCGCCCTAGGCTGGAGAGGTGACCTGAGAAAGGTTATCGTTCTAGCGCGCACTAGGCTGGAGTGCTAACCTGCGACAGGCTATCGTTCCAGCCAATGGAGGTAACATGCATCGTCTTGACCACTTTCAACACATGGTTTCCTCGTGAGGAAAGGGAAACTAACGCCAATTGTTTTTGGAACTTCCAGGGGGCAACGCAGGCGCGGGGAGCGAAAATCGCGCGGGTCACGCGCATATCGGTGCCCCTGTTTTTTTGCCCCGAAGACTGTTGGCGGGGGCGCCCGTTTTCTTTTCCTCTCTGTTTACCTGTTTACCTCGCTTGTGGGGGTCGCACATCGATTCCCCTTCTGGGAGCCTACAAATAGATTCCGTTCGTGGCGGAATTACACACAGATTCCCTTTGTGGCACTTAAAAAAAAGATTCGATTCCATTCGTGTGAAGGGGACTGGGGGGGTCTGGCCCTGGGAGAAGGTCCCAGAGGAAAAAACATAAAAAGACTGCCCTCTGGATCCACTGGTCCCGTTTTTTCCAGGCCCAGACAACAAAAACAACGGGGAGGCCTTCCCCCCAGTGGCCAGGGCCGAACCCCTGAGCGAGGAGGTAGCCCGTGGGCGTCGGCGGCACCTCGTCGTCCTCCTCCTCCCCCCCTTGTTCCTCGCCCTCCTCGTCCTCTTCTTCCCCTTCCTGCACCTCCTTCTCGTCATCGGAATCCCTCCCCTCGGATTTCTATTTTCCCTTGGTCCTCATCGTGTCCCCTCCCTTCCCCTCCGTCTTCCCCTCCACCCTCGAACCAGTTTCGGTTCTTAGGTCGGGCCGGAACGTTCTCGGCGAGGCGCGGCTCGTCATCACCATGCACATCAACAAGGTTGTCATAGTCATACTCGTCATCATCACCACCTCCACCTCCACCTTCGGACCACCCAGGAGGAGAACCACCCAGGTGGAGCACCTCTTGGTCTCCCCCCTCCTCCTCCTCCTCCGCCCCCCCCCTCCACCTACGGACCACCCAGGAGGAGGAGGAGGAGGAGCAGGAGGAGGAGGAAGAGGAGGAGGAGGGGGAAACGTCATCACCATCGTCATCGACAGCAGCTTTAGAATCACCATCGTCATCAGCATGATCATCGATTTCATCAGCAGGTCGACGCATGTCATCGGCATCGTCATCAGCAGCATGTTCAAAACCACACTGGTCATCACCATCGTCATCAGCAAGGTTTTGATAGTCATACTCGTCATCACCATTGTCACCAACAGGATCCTCAGAGCACGGCGCGCCATCGGCATGGTCATCAGCAGCATGGTCATCAGCAGAACGGCGTCGTTGGAAGTAATAATTGTCATCAGCTTGGTCACCAACAAGGCGTTGATAGTCATACTCGTCATCATCACCACCTCCACCTCCACCTTCGGACCGCCCAAGAGGAGGACCATCCAGAAGAAGCATCTCTTGGTCTCCCCCTCCTCCTCCTCCTCCCCCACCTTCGGACCGCCCAGGAGGAGGAGGAGAAAGAGGAGGAGACGTCATCACCATCGTCATCGACAGCAGCTTTAGAATCACCATCGTCATCAGCATGATCATCGATATCATCAGCAGGTTGATGCATGTCATCAGCATCGTCACCCGCCGCATGTTCAAAACCATACTCGTCATCTCCATCGTCATCAGCAAGGTTTTGACAGTCGTACCCATCATCACCATCGTCACCATCAGCATCCTCAGAGCACGTTATGCCATCAGCATCGTCATCAACAGCATCTTGGAAGTAATATTCCTTCTCCGTATTGTCATCGGCAGTTTCTTCCGGCTGACGCATGCCATCAGCATCGTCACCAGCATCAGTTCAGTCTTCCGTAGCTGGTTTGAGGCTCAAGCACTGTTTTGTTGCAAGGTTCACGCCGCGTTCCCTGGCGATGCCGAGGGATGGGAAAATATCAAGAAGAGCACCAAGACCCCAGCCCAGCTCGAAACCAACAACGGTTGGAAGGTCCCGGCCGCTCTGTGAAAAAAGGCGCCGTCGTCGCAAGCAGGCGGCCCCGATGGCTTCCATTTGCGTTCGCGAGAAGATGGCGGTAGACTAGAAGAAGACGGCTAAAAAGGAGGTGGCGCGGCGCAGCCGTGAGAAGAGGCGTTCGGGGAGGCCCAACGAAGAGGCGGTTGTGATAATGCGCCCTGCCAAAAAGCAGGGTTCCTCGAGCTCGTCTTCAGCGTCTTCTTCGTCCACGTCGTCGTCAGACGTCGTGGGCAGCGATGCCTCCTCGGACACCGACTGAGCGAGCAAGAGGGAGCCAGCTTACGGCGCCTTCCCAAAGAAAAACATCGTCGGGAACCACAACCAAGAGAGAGCAGGAACCACGAGGAAGCAATAGGATTCAGCGACACAGCAGCCACGAGTTGTCGATAGCAGGCCTGCGCTCCAGCATGACACGGTCGGGCGTGCAGTAGGGGAGCCTTAGAAAGCTTTCCAGGAGGACCCCCGAGGAAAGGCACAGGGGGGACACGCGAGCGACCTACGAGAGGGTTCTGGAGGACCCCCATTCATGAACCCGAGAGAAAACCTAGCAGGTTGGGAAACGTAGGAAACACGTAAACCAATCATAACAAAGAGCCCTCTCCTCACTGCTGACATTTCGGATTAAAGAAGGTTTGCGCCCAGACGGCCGCGACTCCGCCCACTTCGCCACGTCGCGTCTCTCGCTGTCCACGCCAGTCGGTTGAATGGCGGCGCCAGCAGGTGTCCCCGTCGAGCGCCGCGCGCGCCCGCGCCTGGCTGCGGCGGCTGGCAGCGCCGACGTAGAGATGTGGAAAGACGATGGGCCTGACGAGCTGAATGCCAGCTACCTGACATTCCAGGTTTTGGCAGAGGCGACAGGGCCGAAGGCCACCCTCTTGGAGGAGACCAAGCGGCTGGCGAACAAGTTGGCACTTGGCTTCGGAGAGGCTTGGGCGAGCATGGATCTCGCCAAACAAGAATGGATTGTCCATTGTCGCTCGGTGCGTCGACTTGGGCATGGCCTGGGGTCCAAAGGGCGACTTCCTCCTCGCCCGCGTTGTTGGCTTGCTCTGCGAGGGCGAGCTTCGCGCTCGCCCCGATGCGGCGCACGAGCTCGAGGACGGGACCTGGCTGGCCGTCGGCGCGATGCCTCAGCGCCTCGTCATCCGCATGGGGCAAACGATGACGGCGGCCAGATTCGTGCTGATGGAGGCGGCGAAGGCGGAAGTGGAACGTACCTGGGCGAGCGTCATTCCTTACTTGAAGAACTTCCAGGGGTGGGCGAACGTCGGCCCCGCGGAAGACTTCGAGCTGCGCAGCGCGAAGCATTGGGCAACCGCAGCGGCGCATTCGCTCTCCAACGTGCCATGGCGTTTCGCGAATGCAGCCCAAGGGCCTGGCGCCCTGAAGGCGCGCGCCGAGTTCTTTCAGCAGGACCGCCATGTCACGGAGCACGCCATATTATGCTTTGACACTGCGCGCGTTAACATGTCCTCTGCCACGGGTGGAACGCAACGTGGCGGGAGCATTGAGTGCATCCAGAAAGCAGCGAAGAACGACTGCTACATCCACATGAAATGCCCCCTGCACAACCACCTGACCTACAAGCCTCCCGACGCCGACCGGAAGAAGTTCTCTATGGCGCAAATGATTGCGTTCGCGGGGAACCCCGAAGGCCGTCGCATGGCGCGCGCGAACGACATCCTCGGCCTCCTGGGGAAGCAGGACACGCGCGTCTGCTTGTGCCATGTCTGGGGCGGCGGAAATTCCAAGTCCCTGCTTCCTGCCTTCCGTCGCAACGTCTTCTCGGAGACCCACAAGCACATCCCGCCCACGTGCTTCGAGAACGAGGGGGGGCGTCGCAAGCAGGGTATCAATCTTGCATTCTGTCGGGCCGCCACTATATAGGAGGCGCCCGCGACGACGGCGGCGCGCGGCGATTTACTGAAGAACACGTTCTCGGGCGGAGAGTTCCCCGCGGGGCCGAACTGCGGCAGGGCGGCAGGGTGGCCCCAATGGTCAACCTGCGGAACACCGCGTTCAATTGGGCGTGCAACAATGCCCCGCACGCGAAGGCCCCCGACACGCTCAAGCTCGATTTCATGACCAGGCGGTCGAGGATTGCGGACTACTTCTCCACTCGAAGCAGACCCCGCGAAGCTGAACGTGCAGGAGAAGCGCTTCGAGTGGTAGGCGGGGGCTTGGGCCGCGCGCAAGTGATTTGAGTCGGCGTCGGCAGGTCAGTCTGGCGGGGGGGCGCCTGAGTCGCTCGCGCTTGCCCCGACTGAGCGCGCGTGTAGACGCGCGCGTATTCTTTTAGATTAACAAGAGCACGCCTACACAGAAGATGCGCTGTGCGAGGGGGCGTTACATTTTAAGTGAGCCGTTCAGATGATGACGCTGGTAAAAAAAAAGCGCTGATATGCGCGCGCCCCATGTATATATATATATATATATATATATATATATACATACATACATACATATTGATGCGCTGAAAGTGCATGATTATATAAATATATTTATGTATATTTTCACATATAGATGCATGTATATATACACATGCATGTACATAGATATGCATGTATATATACATATAATGCTGGGGTACGAGGGGGCCGGGACACAGGCCGGGGCACTCCCCCGGATTTCGCCCCCCCCCCCCCCCCCGCTTTGGCCCCCCAGATGTTCGACCCCTTCCGCGGCCACCTGCACCCCCCCCCCCCCCCGCTCCCCAAAACAGCCCAGGAGGCCACCAAAAGCGATCGGAGCGACCTGACAGGGCCGAAGGCGCCCAAATGTTGCGACGACAGCTCAAGAGGCCCCGAAGACGCTCCAAGAAGGCCCCAACATGCACCCCGATATGGCCCCAGGATGCCAAAACTGTTCCACTCGTCGTCGACACCGTGCACTTTTAGCACATCCGCACTTTGGATTTCCACGGCGTCCTAAACGGCCCAAGAGGCCCCACAGATAGACCCAAGACGGCCCCAGAGGCTTCCAAGAGGGCCCCAGGACGGCCCAAATGAGACCCAAGACGGTCCAAGAAGAGCCCAAGAGGGCCCCGAGTGGAGTCTAAGAGGCGGAATGCCAATTGACATCCGAGCCCTCCGCCACGAACGCGCCCCCGGGGCCGCAGCAGGCACCCAAGAGGCCCCCCAGGCCCCCAGAGAGGCCCCGAGAAGCTCCCGCAGGGCACAAGACAGGCCACGAGAAGTTTCAAAACTCGCTCCACGAGGCGCCAGAGAAGCGTGCCAAGAGACCCCAAATTACATGTATCCGAGAATCAGTTGTCCCAAACTCAGGGACGGTAGCGGCATGGCCGAAGGCCATAGATAAGCAAGCAATAGGTTTGGTGACGGACCCATCCATGTGCAGACATGCGGAGTGCAGATCGCGAGTCTCACTTCATACGTTGCCCGCCGCGGGGCAATGCTGAAAGATGGTTGCTGCGGAGCCCGCGCGCAGGGGTGCGTTGAACTCTTTGTTGGCCACGATCCGCGCGAAGGACATGCCGAATAATTCGGACACCCCCGAGGCATGTTCCGAAGTGGGCGGGGAGGTGCCGCGCGAAGCTGCCCATTGGCGCCATGGGGGGGGGCCTCCTCCTGGGGCATGATTCGCGTCGCAGGTGTGCCGACGTGGGCGGGGCGGCGCTGTGCGAACCTTGTCTCTGGGCTTTTATTAGGCTGTTCTCCTTGCGCGCGCGATCCGCGCGATGGGGCGTGCCGCAACGGCGAGGTGGGGGGCGCAGTGCGAACCCCGCCTCTGCGGCCGTAGGCGGAGACCCCTGTGGGCCATGATCCGCGTGAGAGGCGTGCCGACGTAGGCGGGAGGGCGGGATGCGAAGCCTATCTCTGGGGCCGCGCGTGGAACTCCTTGCGGACCGCGATCTGTCTGAGAGGGGTGCCGAAGTGATCGGGGCGGCGCTGTGAAGCTTCCCTATGACGCCGCAAATGACCATCGCAACCGAAACAAACGAGAAAGCCAAAAACATTGATGTTCCAACGGTTTTGACAAGATGTTTGCCTTTTGGGGGTCCCGTGGACTGCCTTCCAGATTCCGAGATACCTAGCGTTCCGTTCGAATCATCCCCTCGAATGTGTTTTCGAACGCATCGCGCTTCCTGAGAGCGCCTTCGAGGACTCTCTTATTCTTTGCTTCGGCAGTTGGTCATTCGGCGCGCGCTGGCACAATGGTGACGTCTCCCGGGGACCTTGAGAAGGATCGGGAGCTGTCTACTCTCACCTTCCGCATCGCAATTCTCGACGCTTCGCGCATCCCCACCAGCCCGTCCTCCACCAGGCACTCGAATGAAGAACGCCGGCCATCGGCAGCTGTTTTCCTCCTCCTCCTCCTCATTTCCCTTCTCTTCCTCCTTTCCTCCTCCTGGTGGCGCCTTGACAGTTTCCCGGAGCGCTTTTGAAGGTCCAAGACGATGTTTGATGCCCTTTTGGGGGACATCGTTCACAGAATGGGGGCCCCTCAATTAGCGCTGCCCTCCATCAATCAGCCCAATCAGAGCGTAGCGCGGTTCGCTGCGAAACGCCCCTGCCTTCGGCGCTTTCGAGCCATTGACGTTCACGTAGACTTTCTTCGCGTTGGAGCCATCCGTGGCGTGTTGTGATGATGTCTGCGACTTCAGCTGTTTTGTTATGTATCCTGCGTGTTGTCCATACCTGCCTCCCCAACGATTCTTCGTCGCACGTCTGTCGTATCCGTTGCGGCGCCGCGTCGCTTCTGCTGTCGCAGGCCGTCGATCATAACCATGTCGGCTTCAGTGCGCTTCGTTGCTGCCCGCAGCGTCTGATCAATTTTCCCGGGCATCGCATTTCGTCTCCTGAGAGCGCCTTCGAGGGCTCTCTTGCTTATTCGCTTCGGTTGTTCGTCTTTGGGCGCGTGCTGAAGCTATGGCGACGTCTCTGAAAGGACGGGGGGGGCGAAATATTGCAGAATGCTCGTTGCAAAGGCAGAGCCGACGAATTGGTCGGCGCCATCGTTGCTGTTGCGATTCGTAGGCGAGAACAGGTCTGACGCGGTGTTCGTGGTTACTGGGAAAGCCTTAGAGCAATTTCGCTCTTGTGAGGTGTGGCGAGTTTACGAGTTCACTGTTCGTGCTTCCCACGTGGGGAAAAGTACTGGCGTTCAAAAATGTGGCGCTCAGTGGTTGTATGAAGTATCGTTGAAGTTCGCGGCTCCAGACTTTAAGCTAGCTGGGCGGACGTGGCCTTTCAAATATGCGTATGCCTTCAGGATTGGCCCAGCATGAACCAGCTAGACGCGGGCGCCTTCGTCGATATTCTTGGGAAATTGGAAGCGAAGCCAGTGTGGGATGCTAATTCGTCAATTCCCAAAACGATTTTCTGATTGACGAGCGGGGAACACTTTCAAGAAGTTGAAGTCCTTGGCGCGTCGCAGAGCGAAACGCTGCGAGCAGGGGACACGGTTGCACTGTCGGGCGTCAAGGTTCGGGAGCGGTATGGACGGCGATCTTTGCATAGTACTTTTTTAACGCCCGTCGAGCGCAACCCTTTGGGGCAATCCGTCGAAGCCAATGAGGGGCCAAAGCGCAAGGCTATCCGTCTGTCCCCGACAACGCGGTTGACCGCATCCCAGGCGAAGCTCGAAATGGAAGAGCTTGCCGCCTCCGCGGGAGAGACGCAGGGCCCAGGCCCGATCTCGTGCACTGTGGTCGGCAGGGTTACAGCGTCGACGTCGGACTTTTTCGAAGACGACGCTCCGATTCTCCAGAAGGGCGATGCTGAGATCATGTGCTACAAGACATCCATTGCGGACGCTACCGGCCGTCTGCCTGCGCAGATATAGGATAAGCCGCGCCATGGCATCTTCGGCGCGACTGCGAACAAGTTGCGCGAGTTATGGGAGATGGGCGTTGACGTCGAAACCGAACATGAAGAAATCCTGCAGGAACTCAACGGCGCTTCCTCCAACGATATCGCGTGTTTCTGTCAAGCCGACGCGTGGCGCCATGGCCGTGACAATCTGAGAGCTTCCGTGAGCGTTGACGTGGACGAGGTTGAGGTGAATTGTCAGTAATGGTCCGGCCTAGTGCAGTTCGCTGCATTATGCAGCATGTTGCAGACAATTTCTGAACGCCTATCTCGCACGCGGAGAGCGCCTTCGGGGACTCTGATTTCATCGCACAGTCTTTCTGACATTCGAGTCGTTGTAGGATCATGGCGACGGGTAGGAGACATGCCAGGTCGCGACGGCCTGGGCTCGCAGTAAGTTACGCCACATCCATTGATTCGTTGATGGCGAGCTCACGATGCTTCCGAGCGCGCAGGAGAGACGGTTTGGTTGCCAGGTCCTTGAAAGAACCACCAGTCTTGCTCGATCACGTTGCAGCGCGTCGGGGGGCGAGGTTGATCATTTATTAGGCGGGTTTCGCTGGCAATGCGCTTTCGGCGGGGAGCGTTCGCAAAGCTAGTTAGGTTCGAGCCATGCAAGAAAGGCGTCGCATTGAGAGTATATGGTTGTAGAAACTTTGAAAGACACGAAGCGCGGAGAAACCAAATTCGGCGAGGGGCACTCGGATCTCGAATTTCTTAGGATGCGTTTAGAAATGGTCTGTATAACACGGTCTACATACAGAAGCAGGTGTTGTGTGGTTGAAGAAAAACCATTAAGGCATGAATCAGCTGCTGTTGGCCGGGAGAGCGGGCGCGGGGGCTGCGTTTATCGATTGAGCTCGGGAAGGTGGTACATCAGATCATGCGTGCTACTTCCCGATTAGGCGGGGCGCACTTGAAGGCCGAGTGAGCTGGGAGCGTTCGCGAAGTCGTTCGAAGGCGGCCGAGCCTACTGAGAAAAACTCAATCACCGTATAACTCCGCAATGACTTTTGGCTCTGTATGTTTACGTCCGAGACGTCGTCCACATGCGGTCGACGAGCGTGGGTGAGTGGTGAGAGCGCCTTTGAGGACTCCCTTACTTATTTGCTTAGTTTGTTCGTCTTTGGGCGCGCGCTGCAGGCATGGCGACGTCTTTGAAAAGGACGGGGGGAACGAAATACTGCGGAATGCTCGATGCAAAGGCAGAGCCGACGAAGTGGTCGGCGCCATCGTTGCTGTTGCGGTTCGTAGAGGATAACAGTTCTGACACGGTGTTCGTGGTTACTGGGAAAGCCAGAGAGCAATTTCGCTCTTGTGAGGTGTGGCGAGTTTACGAGT